AATTTTAATTACGTAAGGGACGACCGGCGGGAAGGCGCGAAAGCCGGCTTTTTTCATTAAGATTACACTCGACCGAGTGCGCGCTCGCGCCCTCTAAACAAAATGTTCGTCTCCCCGTCGACGGCGGCGTCGAGAGGTCGGAGGAGGACGAAACAAAACTATCCGGCGGCGGGGGGAGAGACGCCGGCGCGGAGAAAGACGGCTGGTAAGAGAAGAAAGGGTGGAGGGGAACGGAGAATGCGCGCCGGTATAAAACACAGGGAAAGTAGCCGGGCGTTTCAAAGATGAGAGACCACTTTGCGCTTAGAAGGAACTCCTCTACTTTCACGGCTTACTAAATGCGCGAGGTATGCTCGAAGGAGGGAGCAGGCATCCGGGGCGAAGAATGAAAACAGGAACGGATGAACGGGACGGGGAGGAAAGAGGATGAGGGGGATGTAAGGATTTATTTGGTCGATAATATAGTGTTACTATTGTAGTATCTAGAATTTTTAGCGTAGATTAAGGTATTTTTAAAAAGAGTGAATGTAAGAATAAGTGTGAGCTACGTCGCGGACCCAAGATTGCAGGGCCAGCTTTCCAGGGGTGCATCCGAGTGTTTGTGATGAGTGCGAGTGAGAAGAATGCTTATGGGGGAGAGAATGATTTTTGGGAGAGAATGCCTGTAAGAGAGTTGAGAGGAGAGTCGTGTGTTGGCCTCCGTGGCATTTTCCATATTTCATTAAATACATATATTTATTCCTAATTCTCGATTACTGAAGATCCACCTTTTCAATATCTATAATAATAGTATCCACACTATGCTATAGTATAAATAATGTGTTCGCGAGCGCGTCCGCGACGAGAGTAGTCGTTACTTCTGTTTTCGACGTCGCGATTCGGTTTTACAGTGGTAGGGTTAGTAAGGCTGTTGAACTGGTTTGTTTATTCACTGAAATAAATATAATTTCACACTTTAAAGTATATTGTTGAAGTAAAACAGTGATTCGGGCAATTTCATCGGCACAAAGGTTGATTTTGGATGCGTGTTTCTACGTTTGTTGTTGAAACTGGGTTAACTGATGGTTGTTAAGTGATGATCAAGGAATAAACAGTTGGAATATTTATAGGAAGAAGGAACATCTACCGGGCGACCAATCAGCGGGACTTTGCCGGACACGCATACCGATTGACTGCTCGGGGTAGAATCTCTTTTCTTTTGTTTCTCAGGCGATAGTGACGGTGAGTGCCTTACTGTCAGTTTTGGGAGGGTAACATAATGAAAGGGTGGATCTTGAGCAATCGAGAGCTAGGAATAAATATATGTATTTAATAAAATGAAGCTAAACCTATGGTTCCATTTTTCCGTAATAAATAATTAAAAGGAAGACAAATAAATAAAGTTAATTCGATTCTACGAACCGATCAAGTGACACTTTTAGACAGTGCAATGCAAAAGCGCGATTAGTTTGGCAATCAAACGGTTAAAACACGCACGTTGCACATTTTCTTACAAACGAGAAAGGAAGATTAAAAAAAACAGTGAAAGTGGGGACGCCAATGTCCCAGCGACGATTCGATGCAGCTTCTGCCGGCGTAACCAGTGATTTACGGCCGGCCAGTGTTTAACCACCAAATTGCGTAATTCAATTAGCCATCGGTCGTATAATTCGGCGATTAACGGTCGCAAAAATGGAACTCGTTGGGGAAGTTGAAATTGTTCGCCGGCGGAGCCGGGGGTAATTCATTGGCTGTTTATGGTCGTTGAACGAGTGTTTGATTGAGCTTTCGGGGGGATTTTAGTTTAACTATATCATTCTCGTTTGACTATTACCGCTGGATTTATCGTACAGTTTGTTCCATTGTTTTTAGAAACATTGATACTCGGTCGATTAGATTTCGGTAATTAGAGGTTTAACTCTTTGCGGGCGGATGTCGGCATTTCGGTGAGATGAAATGTTCAAATTCGGAAGACTAAGTGGAAAAATGATCTAATTAGTCGAACAGTAAAAGATCAGCGCGTAGTTTTCTTTCTTTCTATTAATTAAGCGATTGATATATCATGTAGTTTCATATGTTGAAGGTTTTGTGCTTCGAAGAATCTTCGTCCGCAAAGGGTTAATTAAATTTTCATTAATCAAAATCGAAACATTTAGCAAATAATGTTTATGAAATTCAATACAAGTCAAATTGACTCGTTCCATAAATCTAATGTTTTCCCTCTTTTCGATCATTAGCAACGATCATTTCGAAGTTGATCTCGTACGATTAAAAATCGTTCGATCCCAGTTTAGATCGAACTATTCCATTAGAGAATTTCCAGCCCCTAATTCCTCTCTTCTAATTGTACATCTTTTACCAGCACGTTCACCAAGGCGTTCACACGAACACGGCGAACAGGCGGAACTTTTAATTACCGGTAAATTCACGGCAGACGCCGGTATTTCACCGGCGTCGCTAAACAACGCGTGAAAGTGGTCCGGGGTTTGTAACTCGCGGCGTGTTCGGATCGGTAACTTTTTCACGTAGCCGCGGAGCTTCTCCGCGCGCCGGAAACGTGACAAATGATTCACGGTGCTTTTAAATCGAAACAGGAAAACCGCACGATGTCCGATTTTATGTACAGGCGTTTTTTTTTCTTTTTTTTTCTTTTTTTGATCGCG